CGGGGGAAGAATGAGCAGAAGTGGACCCCTAGTTCCTACAAAACCGCACTGTTTTACTGTAGTCAGTGTATTAATCTTGGCTCACCTCAGCAAAGAAGTAGGTGTCATTAATTTGCTTCAAAGCCACGGAAATCTAGTGGAAATTCTCACTCTGAATCTAGTCTTTGGAAACAGTTTCTACTCGTTAAGTCTGAAAATAATCTCTGTTATAACTAAAATTTTTAGATACCTCTTTCTTGAGGCAGGAGCTATCTTCTTTTGCTCAGTACTTGTTCAGCACAACAGGGATTTAGTACTTAATAGCTGCTCTGGATTATTCTTTTATAAAACTAATATGTAAATACTCATACTACATAATTATATCATTACAGTAATTACGAGAGCGAATAGACTGGCATCTACATTCGTTGAGTAGCCTTGAAAATCTCATCCATGACTGCTCTCAGTCTCTTTGCTTGGTTTTTGTTCTCTTTTAGAGAGGAGAGCAGTATTAAATTGGAGATGTCCATGTACAGTAACAGATGAAAACAAAATTAGAAAGAATGTATGCATCTATGGATCCAGGAAGAAGCAAGAATAAAATCCTCAAGAACTGTTTTTCCAAAGATACATGCAAACAAGCTTGGGATCTTGTGTGCCATACTTTGTTGCTATAAAACAGATGCGAAGAAAAGTTCAATTCATTTAAAAGTTTTCCTTACTGCTGTAGGATTTTTCCTTATGAAACAGAATGACCGTAACAGGTCTCTCAGTGTGTTCCCGGTGGTCTCATTGATGAGAAATATTGGCAGGAAATTCTATAATGAAACTCCCTAACATATACCTCTTACGACTCAACAAGAGCTACCTCTAGAAAAACAGATCAGAAAGCAAGACCTGAAGGTCACTGTGTAGTAGTATAAAGCTAGCCATTCCAGACAATGAAAGTGCAGCACTAGAAAGATGTTGTATATGGTAATGAAGAGCTTCAGACAGCAGGAGATGTAGAGGCAGACAGTATGAAGCAGATGCAGCATTCAAGGCTGCAGTATGGACCAGCTCAGCTCTTACAGACTGGGAGTGTAAAATCTATCTCCAAGGTAGATTTAGCTCACAGCTGAAATCTCAGAGACTTGCAGGGAGAAAGGGAGGTAGCAGTGTCCAGTCTTCCTCTCAGAGGAGCAAAAATCCAAAATGCTTTGAAAACAACGGGATCAGCACATTTTCCCCTTTCTTGTTTTCTTCATTTTCCAAATGTACTCCTTCACTGCTTTCCCTTCTATTGTTCCTACTAACTGATTACCTTTTCATAATGCACTTATTTTCTGGAATGCAGTGAGAAGCATTTGTTAGCTTAGAAAACATCTCCACACTTGTACCTTTCCCACACCCCTCAATTGTATTGGCAGCAGCTGCACATCTCTAGCAAGGAAAGCTTCTGTTCTTCTTAATTTCTGCTTGCTATGATCTTCTTTTGTTTCCTGCAAAATTTATCTTCAGTTAAGTTGCACTGTATTTTATTGCTGTTGCTTCTGATTATGTATTGTTGAGTTTTTCTTTCCTGGTAACTCTGTGAATTGGCTGGCTATTATCATTATTTCCTTGCAGCTATAGAAAAAAAAAAAAAAAGCAATTCCTTTACTTGAGAATTCTGACATTTATTAGCATAATAAAACTCTCGGATGAAATTGCAGTTTTCCAAGTAATTTCTTTTGCAGGGGAACTTGCAAGGGATTTATTTTAAAGCCAGGTAAAGCCTTAACCTAGCATGAGAAATGGATGGAACACAGACAGAAAAATTTAGACAAAAGTAGGAAATGTCCTCTAAAGTGAAAATGATGATGCTGTTGTGATGTTAATTATATCACAAGAGGACGTATAAGCTAAAGAGCTAATAGTTCCAAGCCTTCTTATTGGCTAAACACAATGCAAAAAGTTGCCAGTAAGTGTGTCACTAGAAATAAATAGCTGTAGTTTTATCAGTCTCTGAATGCAAATTCCTTGTTATGGAACAAGTTCTTCAATATTCTGTCTATAAACATTCCCAAAATTGTGTACAATGAGTTGACTAATCTTCCAAAATCTTTAGAAATTAAATTGCCCATCTTCTTTTCTAGCATGCCTAGAACCAATTCCAAAGAGAAGGTGACATATTATGCCTTTTTTTTTAGTTAACAGAGGCAAAACACCAGTCTGCAAAGATGTCTAGGTGTCTAAACACCACCTTAATTACTCAGTACCACCTTTAGACCCTCAGTCCTATGCAGCCCGCTGCTGCTCTCTGGCCTCAGAGGTAAGCCTAGGGATACCTACATCTTTTAACTTTGAAAGGTCCCTTTCCGTTCTCCTTTAAAGTAGAGGTCCAGTTGTTCTGTGATGAAACACACGCAGCTGTGAATAACCTGAGGCTGAGGTGGTTCTTGAGATGCGTGTATAGAGGGAGTAAGTGCCAAGCTAGTTTCTCAGAGGAAGCAGCTGGTACTTACTGGGGCTCTCTGGACGGAGTGCACTGCACTTGGTGAATGTTCTGTTGGATAAAGGCAACGTACTCTGTGATTACTTTACAGAGTCCATTTCCGAAGCACAGTGAACTGCACTGTGCTGAGGTCGACGTTCTGGTAGCTGGATTCACTGTTTGCATATGCCTGTACGGGGTGTATTCTGGTTCTGGATCACACATACCACGCTTCTCATTTAATGGAAACTACAGGTCCCACTAGAGGCCTGCACAGGAGTTACTATGTTCAGAATTGCAGAACTGTATTCCAGTTCGAGAATCCAGCCCCTGGCAACCTGCAGAAAAAAAATTCCAAGACCACTTGGGTATCTTGATCTCTTATCTAGTTGCCAAGTCACTGTGTTTCTCAAGCTATCAGGCAGCTAAAGAATGTTCTACTGCTGTAAGCCTACTTTCTGTGAAAAGCCCAGCTGTCTCTTATCTGAGCACCATGCACTAAGAACTGCTGCTCCAGCTAATAAGCACTGCTTATTTGCTGTGTCTTGATTGGCTTTGTTATGAGGTGCTAACTAACTATTTTAAAACTCCTGAGCCAGTGTCCCACGTGATTAATACAGAAACTGTCCAGCTAAGTTTCCGTGGAAAGGTCATTAGAATTTTCTTTTCATGGGTCCTGAACATAGGTTAATTAAATCACACAAAAAGCAATGTTAACAAACGAAAATTTGCCTGAACAACAATGAAGTTTGTGTGCAAAAATTTGTAGTTTAATACGGACTAACTGTAGAATTAATTATGAAAAAAATGTTGCTATTCTTACCACAGGTATTTATTATTATTGCAGCACCTTAAATGTATAGCGTGCTTTATCAGCTTGGACAAGACAAGTTTCTTTTCTAGACGAGCTTATCACCTAGGTCAGACAAAGCATAGAAGGTAACAGTGAGTCAAGAGAAACAACAGTTTGAGGAGAGATGGATTCACATGGGGTTCATGAGGGAAGTCTACACTGGTATTTGGAAGAGAATCACGTAAGAAATCAGAGACTGCCCAAAGCAGTAGCATACAGATATACACTCAGTGTACTTTTCCTAGAGATTCCCAGGAAAAAATTAACAATGCAGGTACAGTAACACATATGGATTGGTCCACTTTACCTCAAAATACACATCACACATGAAAAAAGTACTGAGAAACCACCGACTAAAGGCATGACTATGAGTCTAACCAATAGGTACACAACTACTTCCCTTGTGTCCCGCTTCACTCTTGAAAGAGATCAGTTGCATACAAAGCTGCCACAACCCTGTTACTTCAAATATTGCCCTGAAAAATGAACGTTCAGAGCTGAAAAGAGCACTTCTATACCAAGTGGTTTCCATCTGGCTGTTTGTGGGAACAGAGCAAGGAGCTCAGGAAGGTGATAGCAACAGTTCTGCAACTCTCTTACTCCATTTCCTTCACTGGCTGCCTCAGGAGTGTCCAGCTCAGCAGCGAAACAACGCACGGCTGCGTCTACACCATGTGACACCCCAGAGCGCACGCACTGCTGGGACACCAGTCTCAGGAGGGCAAATTAACTACCGTGATGAGACATTTTTTATAGTCCAAACACTAAGCAACTGATCCACAGATCTAGGCTACCGGTCTATTTTCACGGGGTTTATTATGTAAAACAAATGGATCAAGAACACTTTGTGTGTCTCTTTTTTTAAACATGAAATAGCATGATGACAATGTAATTTGTTGTACCTTTTCTATGGATAAATATACCACCGCCATCTTCACTCACAGCTCAGCTATGGAAAATACCTTGTCCTGTAGCAAAGTAAAGCTAGGAACCTCCAGCATGTATCTTGCACATCAGAAAGTAGAACACATGACAAGCCCACTGAGAGGAGGAGTTGTTGCTGCAAATCAAGCTGCTGTCACTAGAAAATTAGTTTAGGATAAACTGATCGCTTCCTGTACAGGAGTAAAATTCTTTCCAGGGCTGCTGGACTGCATGAAATCGTACAGAAACTGTGAATGACCTTATTCTGTCTCTGCTGTGGTGAACTTCATAGGCCTGAATTCAAAAGCACAATGGCAAGTTTCCAGCGACACCTAACCATTTAAGCAATGACAAACTGCAACAGGACATTTTAAGACTCCTTCTCTTGTTATCGAAAGTGCTCCTCTGAGTAATGAGATTGTCATCAGACACTGACAAACCTCGCTTTGGAAAAAAGAATCTGTTTGCCAGTACTGGTACTTCATACAATACTCCAGGAATAGTTCCCACCCATAGCTCTTGCTGCATTTTGCATTCTCAGTCTCAGACATGGAAGGAAATTAAGATAGGAACTTAATGTTCAGTGCAATTGGCCACAATCCCTTGAAAAATTTCTGGGAATAGTGCTATTTGTAATTTTCCAGTATTTTCTCACATTTTAAAATGTTAGCAATATGAATAATGATGGTAATTCAGATGCAGAACAGAAATATTTTAGGCCTTCTAATGAGAATACTTTTTGGCCACAAGACCAGTGGCTTTGGAAGTTTGTTAACTACTTTTCTGTGTTTACTTTTGTACAAATAAAGGGCTGTAGTCTGGTGGATTCTTCTGCTGTCCACATGGCTCCAGTAGTAGCTCCCCACCTGAGGATGTGATGATTTCTTCCTAGAAAGATAAAACCAATTAAAATATCATTCACAGATATCTAAGCCTTTCCCTGTCTCCTAAGAAAAGCAACTGACAGCAATAAAGACCATCACTCCGCTGTAATTTGTAACCAATTACGAATAAATGCTTGATAAAATAAGTACAGACCAGCAAAGGGATCCTACCAACTATTCATTTTCTTCATACTTTATTTCGTACTTATGCAGCAGTAACTTGTGCTAATATCCAAAAGTGAAATCGGTGTACAAAAAAGGCTGTGATTTGTACTACCTGTAAGTTGCTACGTTACTTCAGAGCAACAGCCACAGATGCCTATAAAGGATGTTCTCAAGGGTTAATTACACAGACATACGCCGGTCCTGTTATGCTACCTCCATAGGCATTGGGACTTTGATTTCTGAAGGACTGCAGAGAGATGAAAGATATTAACCTTGCTAGGGTAAAGACAGTCTTTATAAATAGCACCTATTCTCATTAATTAAATACCCACATGCCAAGTCTGTCATTCCAGTAATTAATTACCAAGATGAATTCACAAAAATTTACTGGAAAAGTAGAGAACTTGGGTCTTTGCATCTATTCCTAGAGTAATGATAGTTCATTTTTACAGAAAGATTGCCTAGTGGGTTACCAGAAGGCTTTGGGACACTTGACAACGTACTTCAGCAGAAAGAGCAGGCAGAAAAGCTTCAAAGAGAACCACGTGAGAGACAGGACAAGGTGCCTCCTGAAGGGACTGCCAAAGAGACCAGTTTTAATATAGCTATTATGCTAACCAGTTAAAAAAGAACTGTATGCTGACATTAAACGTGAACCACTTTCTCCGACAGGCTTACTACAGAGGGAGCTATTGACTATTATCAGGGGACAGCTCAGGAAACTTTTTATTTTTTTGAATGTCAGGAACTTGTAGCCATTCTGCTCCTGACAAGTGCCCTACAGCTGGCTGTAAATAGAAATGTTTCCAGTACAGTGAGTGACTGGGATGAGCTACAATGAAAACACAGGAACGCAGCTGAACCAGAGCTGGTTGGAACCGGCTGTCACCATCAGCCCTCTCAAGGAGGACAGGGAATAGTACTTTGGGCAGAGCTCCCACACCTGGTGCCTGATAATCTGCGTTTGAGGTGCTGTATGTGTGCTTCTCTTTCCC